TCTCCTCCCCGCCGCTCCCCTCAGCCCTGTCAACTCCTCCGGACGCCCCCTTGGCCTCAGCGTCTCCGGGCCCCGCCGCCCCCCTCAGCCCTGTCAGCCTCCCGGTTTCTGCTGCCCCCCCTTTTTCCCCGCGCCTCCTTTTGCGGGCGCACGCCGCTGTCCCCCCCAGCAGTCCCGATACTGGGGAGCCGGGTCACAGGCCAAGTGCAGGCTCGTTTTCTTCCCAGAAGCGACTGTTGATTTCATTAATTTTCTTATGCACTTGTGCCCCCTCACCCCCCGCCACATATTGCCGTGCGGTGCGGTCCGGGTGACAGGCCCGGTCCCTGACAACTGCCTTTAAAGTTGGGGAGCATGAGAGGTGCTCCTAGATGTCCTGAGGGTCGCCCTGCAGAGAGACGGCTCGCGGCTGCAGGAGGGTCTGCCCGGGTCTCTCAGTTTTCTGAGAAATGGGAAAAACTGAAAACGCACCCAGAGATCCTGCGGTGTGGTAGTTCCTGTCAGTTCTGACTTCCGACTCGGTTGGCATCCTGGGTTACTAATGTGAAATAGAGCCCCGAGAGTCAGGAACACAAACAGCAGTCTCTTAATTTGCTTATGGTTTCACAAAGAGAGGTAGGGTCATAAGGTGCTGGTTAGGAATAGGCAGCTTTCGATCTCGGAGAGGATCGGATCCAGCTCCTCCCGACCTTGAATAAGGATTTCGGGTTTTTCTCCCCTGTACCTTTTAGCTATTTCTGTGGTTTAATCCTGAAATGTGCCTTAGTTTTTTGTTTTGAAGCCTCCCTACCCTACTTTTTGGCTGCAAAAAGTCGATGTACATCGCGCCTTCACTGAGAGTGAATTGGATACATTGCCTTAATAGAGGACTGATCTTTCCCTGATGAGATGGTAGGGATTGTCTTAGTATTGGAGAAATAAATGTTCCCTGAAGAACTGTTAACAAGTGTGACTTCCAGGGTTAGGGAGCTTGCTTGCCCTGATCAGGGAGGGCCCAGGTTAGAGTCTGTGGAAGTGGAACAGGTCATTGGTCTTTATTTGGGGTTACCTGTTCTTCCCGAATGTATCCCAACGAATGTACTCCAAGGCTTGACTGCGTTGATAAAACTAGAACTAAAACTAGTAGATGAGAGGACAGTTCTCTCTAAGAGTTGTAACTGGAAGTTTGGGAAACAAAAATAACTTGGGATAGTTGAGTGGTCCTCAGTAAGTGAGGGAAACGTGATATCAAAGTAGATGATTGGATCATTTAACATTCAGCTTTTACCTGGTACAAATGTCCAGTGGTAAAAGAAAACACCAAAACTTCCTGTAAAATTTTATATATCTGGCTCTGTTTCCCCTTTGTCTTGTAATCAAGAATATGTTCTTGGCATGTTGTAGTCTGCCATCATTGGCTTTAATTAAAAATAAAACAAACAACTGCCATCTCAGTTATGTGCTGTGGCTGGGATTGCTAATCATTTCCAGTGTTTCTCATCACAATGACCCAGTGAATTAGAGACTGTCCTGTTTTATGAATGGGGTGACCAAGGCCCACAGAGGTTAAATGACTTGTCTAAGACACAGCTAGGGTTTGAATGTTCTTAAAGAATTGTACATACATATATTTTTTAAAGTAATGTACACAATGAAATGTCAATGAAAAACAAAGAGAAGCAGCAGTCCCCTGTCTCACCTTTCAGCTCCCTTCCTCAAAGACATTGTTTTGTTCAAGAAGTTCTCCATAGCTCTAAATAATTTATTTTACACATTTTTGGCTTTCTGTTATGATAGCATGATTTAGCTTATCATATCTCACCTCTTCTATCCCCTGAATTCACTATGTTCCGTTAACTTATTGTTTATAACTATGCAAATATTGTTTGCTTCACAGCCAAGTAATGTATTTCCCTTATACAGTTGTTTGTTTTTTCTGTTGTTTGTAATGGCCTTTCTTTTTCTTTACATTTCTGTTCCCGTTGACTGCTTAAATTGTCAATGATAGTGTCATACCTCTCCTGCCTTCCCAGCCCTCTGTCCTCTTTTTAAAATCTGAATTGATTACTCTATGCCAGAATAGGTATCATCTTGATATTTTCCTTTATTATACATCTGGGTTTGCTCAGATTCCATGTTTTAATCTTGGCTTTCTTCATTTCAATGAGAACCTTCTGCCAAGTAGCTTTATTCCTTTTGGGTGACTTTTTAGGGTCCTCTTTGGTTTTAGGACATTTCCAGAGTTTTAAAGGATGTGAAGCCCCTTTCCAAACACTTTGTTTTGGGGGGGCCTGTCCTTTAGGTCTGGGAAAGTCTCTTAAATCATTTATTTGAGAATTCTTCCACTCTGCTTTTACTCTTTTCCAAGTTCTTGTCAGATGATGGACATCTTGACCCCCTGAATCTCTTGTCTTTATCTTCCTCCTGTGTCATTTTTATTTCTGGGAGAGGGCTTCAATTTATCTTTTATTTAAAATTTTTAATATCCATAATTGAAATGTTGACTTAAAAGAGTGTATTTGTTCTCTTCCTTTTTCACAGTAGCTTGTTGTTTTTTGAATACATTATTTCTTTGAGGATACTATTAAGGATTTTCAGTTCTTTTTCGTTCTTTGATCTTGTTTCATCTGATGTCACCATCATCTTTTTTAAAATACTGGCTTCATATGGCAAGTACTCAGTTACTGGTAATTGTCTTAGGCAAGAGGAAGCAGGCAGATCTGAATTTTGGGGGCTGGTTTTGAAAATAGGCGGGTTTCCATTTGTTTGGGAACTTGTTACTGTGCTTGGACCTTGAATGCCAGATGGCAGATTTTCTCTGGACCTTTCAGCTTAAGGAAGACCCCTTTGATAGGGGACTGCCCCACTTGGTCTAGTGGACCCCTTGCACAGCTCTTCTGTACTGGGACTATCTTCTGTGTGCAGGTGCAGCCCTCATCCTCTTTTGAGGGTCCTGGGATTGGACCCCAACCTGTTGCAGCTTAGAGCCCTTCTTTGATTGTACTCACTCTTGTGTGCTCCAGGTTGCTGTGCTCCTTTGCCCTCATTACATTCTCTAAGTCTCCCAGAAATTTGCAAAATCTCTTGGCCTGCCGTCTTATTTTCTTTCTTATGGGTTTATTATACGCTGTTAAAAATCATTTTATTGGGAGTGGAGATCACGTGTACTGGCTAGTCCCTCACTGTGAGCAGTTCCAGAGTCCGTTCTCCTCACTCTCCTCTGCTCTCCTTCTCTCCTCCCAGTGGCCTTGGTAATGATTCCCACCATCATTGGGACCTGAGGCCAGATCATTATCCCTGTAGCAGTTACCACGTTGCAGTGCGGGCGGATGATTTGATCCTGGTAGAGGTTCTCCTGGCTCTGCGTCCTTGGAGGGGTGCCAGGCTCAGCTGGGGAAGGCCAACCATAGACTTCTGTAGCAAAGACTGTGATTTCAGGTTCTTCAGTCTGCTTCTTACTGTATCAGTGTCCTGAAAGAGCAGTTCAGAGTGCCAGAGTTTAATGAATGCCTCTAGTTAAGCAGTGATTACTGTGTTTGAAGTGTAATCTTAATACATTTTTGTCGATGTCCTTTGAACATTGTGCACAGTGAAATGGGTCAGCTGTGTTTGCCAAGGACTTGCTGGTGAAACGGTCTACAGGCCAACAGCATTACCATCACTGGGTATTTTAGAGAAATGCAGACTCTCAGGCCCCACCTAGATGACATATGGTATCAGAATATGCAGCTTTGTAAACTTAATTTTGAGGTAGTTTTAGACTTAAAAAAAGTTGAAAAAATATGGAGAGCTTCACTTACTCCCTTTACCCACTTCCCCTAATGCTGACATCTTACATAATCAGGTATCCTTATAAAAACCAGGAAATTAACATTGGCACAGTACTGTTAACTAAATTGCAGACCTTACTGAACTTCATCAGTTTTCCACTTTCCTTTTTCTGTTTCAGGATCTAATCCAGGATCCCACTCTTCATTCAGTTGTCATGTCTCCTTAAATCTCCAGTCTTTGATATTTACATAGTCCCAAGATATTTATAAATTACAAAGGGAAAAACAGTAACTTCACAGTGGAAAAACACCAGCAGATAACACCTTCACATCACCAGTAATAAGACATAATGATATTATGTGCCCCAGTTTGGTACACTGAGCCAGAAATGCATACCCTCAGTCTAATCAGGAGAAAATCCGAATTGAGGGACATTTACCAAAACCCTGACTAGTACTTCTTATAAGTGTCCAGTTTTGTGTGTGTCTGTGTGTGTGTTGCTTAAACAACAGAAATTTTTTTTCTCATAGTTCTTGGAGACTAGAAATCTGAGATTGAGATGTCATCAGGTTTGGTTCCTTTCTCCTTGGTTTGCAGATGGCCGCCTTGCTGTGCTATGTGATCTTTCCTCTGTACACATGTCTGGTGTCTCTTCATGTGGCAAAATTTCCTTTTTTTTTTAAATAAGGATGCCAGTGGGGTTGGATTAGGGCTCACCTTAATGGTTTCATTTTAATTTAACCACCTCTGTAAAGGCCCTGTCTCTAAACACAGTCACATTCTGAGATACTGGGGCTAAGATTTTAGCGTGAATTTCTGGGGGACATAATTCAGTCCATGACAGGTGGCAATATGGAAGATTTACTTTTCCTAAATATTTTCTGCAGTGTTTTTGTAATGTTTTAATATTTTACAGAGCCCAATTATTTTATAATTTGGAAAAGCAATAATGTTAAAACAAAAAAAATTCTTTATGTTTACATTTAAAATAGATTCTAGGCTTAGATAA